GTAAGGGGGTGAATTAGGGAGAGTATTATTATTATAAAAAGCACACATTTAATTCGAAAAAGAATCGACACCTTCAGATCATTAGAACTTTAAACTTTTGACAACAGTGGCCTTTTCTAATGAAACAATGTTGATGTGATGGAAGGTTATTCACTTCGATGGTGTTCAGAAGCCACAACAAGAAAGCAACACTATGTTTGCACCCACCTTAAAAAAATAGAACCATGTAAAATAATTTAATACTTTATTTTGAGCTTTTTGATTTTGACAAGAATTGAAATTACCTTCGAAAGCAGAATATTCTGTGAATTTACAAGATATGACCTTTTCCTTTTATTCATTTATTACTGAATAACGCTATAAACTTTTTGTGTTCTAGTGTAATTCTAGCTTTAATGTTACAAATGGTAACCCAACATAATATGATAGTACACTTCCTTGGTAGACCCTACAAATAAAATAGAAAAATGTCAACAATATTAAGTAGTGAGTTTGTATAATATAAAAATGTTTCTTTTTTAATAACAAATCTCTTTGAATCAGTGGCGGCTTGAGCCCAAAATTTTGGGGGTTCACAGTGACAGAAATAGATATCAGTACAGATGTATAAAAAATTTTCAGTGTTTTAGAAAGTTTATAATATACCTTTCTAAAATACTGTTTTTTACCTACATCTGTACCGAGATCTGCTACTGTGAACCCCCAAAATTTTGGTTACAAGCCGCCCCTGCTTTGAATACAATAATTCTAGAAAGATTTGGAGCTTAGAAAGTGTACTTTGCAAATTTCAGAGCCAATAAACTTTATATTATTTATATGAAAAAAACATTAAGTATGTTAGAATCCACCTTGGGTAAGTTATCTAAAGATTCTTCCTTTAATTTAATTTATACGATCTTAACTTTTAAATTGTCGTTTATCCGGAATTTCAATAATTTTTTATACAGGGATTTCGACGAGTCTCAATTCCATCATCATCATCATCATCATCATCATCATCATTTATTAATTTTAAAATATATATACATTAATTAATTACAAAATCATTGAGTAGTTACTTCTTGTGTGGCCGGGAAGTTCTAACCTACACCACCTAAAAAAAATGTTTAGGCCTTGGCCGTTGTCATAGCCGAATGATGCATGTATTAATTTTATAAATTATGAGTGTTTAAGTAGCCTCCTTGCTTAATTAAGCATTATGCTACTGCTAGGTTTGCTGGTTTGATCGGTAATTGAGTACGTCTATAGTTTTTGTTTGATTTTAATTTTGTGGGTGTCTTCCCTGAAAAACCAATTGCAAAAAACAGGGTTGTCCTTGTCTGAGTCTCAATTCTTGCTTTGGGCGATGACTTCACCGTGCAGTCTTCCGTCCGACTGGTCTTACTGACTAGTCGACGATGAGATTCGACTAATAGTGAGATTTGGCATTGCTAGGAAGGATGTATGTTAATTTGTATGTTTTCAGCCTTATAGATTTTTAGTACTTTGTGCAAACAGCCATGAATCCTGTCTGCACCATCCCCTTGTTTAATTGGGTGTATGTCTTCCTTGACAGGAGAAGGTAGACACTTTTTATAAAAGCTCTTGGATAATCTGAGAATATGATCTTTAATAGATTGGCACGTGCATGTCGTGTATTCTGACATAACGATCATACCCCAGAGCCAGTCGGAGACACTTGTTCTGTATGATTTATAGTTTATTGAAATGTGTATTTGACATCGAGCAGAAAACTGGACATCCATAAGTAAGGATAGGTCTTAGTACTTGCTTGTACAGAAGGATTTTATTTTCTGAAGTTACCCTACTCCTGCGATGAAGCATGGGGTAAAGTACCCTAAAAGCCCCCATAGTTTTGGAGATTCTATCCGGATGTGACGTTGGAATGTTAGCCGCTTGTCTAGAGTGAAACCCAGATATTTCATCGAGTATATGGCTCTTTGATGTTATATTTGTAAGTTTTTTTTTAAGATAAATAAACATTATTATTGCCACCCTAACGGACCCGCCTCTGGCTAGAAATGCGCAGTAGCGTATAGTTGATATGTTAATGTTTCGAAAATTATCTGGCATCTTTTCTCTGTAATAAAACTTGACCGGATAATAATTAACTAAGAGACGAAACTTTGTGATTGTCGTTTGTTTATTGACGTGCGCTCATTTTTATTTGATGCAGACCAGCGCGTTCCAGATGCCACGTATAATGGCGTCCAATTCGTTGCAATAAATTATGATAATTTTATTACAAGTGTGGATAATGGCGACCTTATGGTATCGGTATCGTCAGAGCTGCATGTAGTGCCGTTTTCATATCGATCGATCGTAAGACGAACGCATTTTTAATTTGTAGAGGAATGTACTGTAATTGTAATGATGAATTGCATTTTAAAATAAATTGGACAACCGGTATAATTCAGACAATTGGTATACAAGATATTCAACTAATTAAGTTAAAGGCAAATCTCAGTGACACTGACTTGAAATATAAATTATCACAAAAAATTATGTTTTAAATAGACATTGATATAATATTCATTAAATCCAGTAAATCATAAAATTTTTGTTATTCATTAAATAGAAATGAAATTAATTAAAATATATAACACTTATTAATCAAAATAAGACACGAAAGATTTAAAAAACCAAATAAATTTTCCTAATCTACAAAAAAAGTTGTTGAGACACTAATAATATTCTTCGTTTAACTGCAAAACGTGGCATGTCGTATTTTTTGCTTGCTATTTGTAGTTGGGTAGAGGAGGGGGGGCATAGTACATGTTGTTCATCTCCTCCCCTGTTCCCATTATAGTTGGGATATAACGTCACATTCCATAGGGGTACTTTGCCAAGTTTTTAGTAGACTAAATTACTATAATATAAATAATAATAAAAGGCACATGAATTGTAAGAATTTTAATTTCTAGAGGGCATGACCGCTCTTGCGCAGATCGTACATTAATTAAAAACTCTTATTCCTAGAAATTGTTACGACTTTATGGGTCCTCTGCATGTCAAGCACCTCACTGCCTTTCACACACGCTGCACTAGTAAACTTTAAGTTTGTCGGAATATTACGAGCAACAATCTTACAATTTTATAGTTCCAGGTAATTGTGGTGTGCGGAAAAAGGCATGTTAAAATTAATTGTGCCTTTACTGTTCAGTTCCCACGTTGTTTTTTCCTTTTCGAACGTGATTTCGCGGCACCAGCCGAAGCGTTCGCGTTCTTTGGCCTTTTTCATCTAGAAAAATCTAGACAAAAATCTCCGATGAATGGGATAAATCGAGCGGTTCGAGCTTTTTCTGAGATTTCTTGAATGGCTGCCGGTCGTTCTTTTGTTTTTAAAGCGTTCGTAAACAGCAGACTTATAGGTGTTTAAACGTCTACACTATTCATTTTTTGTTTTTTTGTTATTTTATGTATTTTTTGTTAAAATTTTTATTGAATTAAAGAAATAAATAAATAAATCAGTAGATAAATATTCAAATAGGATCTTACCATTTAACGTCACGACCCTTATAAAAAGAATTACATATTAACTTTATGATTGATAATTTCCTTATATAAATTATTAAAATAAGAAATAATTCAACAATTTATGTAAAATACCCAATAACAATGTTATCTCTTAGTAGCACCTTAGTAGGTGGTGTTTCTAGATACTAAAAGCCGCAGGCAAAGAACTAGATGAGCATTTCTTCATTCTTCACAAAACAAAATAATTTTAGATTTCATTTAATAAGTCTTTCTATTGATGCAGGTATTTTTCTTGAAACAATTTTCGTCTATTTAACTGGTTAAAATACACCAATGATGTTTTAATTTTTAAAATACACAACATAAATTTTACTGCCAAATTCTACGACAAAAACTTTTCTAGAAAACATTACCAGAAGAAGACAGAACAACATTGTTATTGAAACAAACAATGCTGTTAAAGAAATCAGACTCTGTTTCCCATATATGCCTACGCCAATGCTAATATAGCTTTATCTTTGGAATGAGCAGTACTATTATTATCCTATGTATTTTGGAATATTGTACATTAACTTTCATCCTAAATATCCTTATTAAACAGTTCAATATTCAAGTTACACTCATAAAATCACAATATAACTTAAACTCTCAGTACTCTCACTCAAACAAAATGTCATTTTAAGTACCTTAAAACACTTATATTACCTAAAAAATTAAGTGATTAATGTTTAAAGATCTAGAAAAACGGGAATATCATCAAAAAGTAAATTTTTGGGCCTAAGGGATGAATATAAAACTTTAAAAATAACTTTCATATTGAAATTGCACAAAATTTTCAAAATTATTAACATATTTCTTAAAAATAGACAAATAGACCGTTTAAAACAGTGAAGAAACAGTGAAAATTCGTAAAATAACTTGAATTTTGAATTGCATACATATTATTTTCAAAGTAATTATCATATTACTGAAGTCATTTTAATAGTAAGAAGTGGGACAAGAAGATGAAAAGAAGATAAAAAAGAAAAAGAAGAAGAAAAGAAGAAGTTGATAAATATAATTATAATTATAATAATAATAATAGATAGACCTAACTGGTACCTATATGATTATTTTATTTTATTTCTGTCTTTAACCAGTAGTTGATATTAACATATTAAAAAACGCAGTAAACGGCAAAATTTTAAAGCGCATTTTACAAGAAATTCTTGATATTTTCCCATTTACGTCATTCTGAATGTCGATAAACTAAAAGCTATTGAAGATAGCTCTATTTTTCTTTTTCCGTCAAAAAGGGGTATCTATAATTATAGATGATAACATTTAAAAGGAAAACAATTAAAATTCTATTTTAGAATAATAATTATTTAATGTTTTTGTTATTTATCGTTATTGGGAAGTGGAAATTATTATTATTAAAATTGTGTTATGTGTATACACAAATTATGAATAAAACATGACACTTTTTGTATAGGTCTGGGTAATACCTATCTAGCACTATAAATGGAGCGAATTTTTTCAGTTGATCGTCAGTTGGTATACAATACAAAATATGTTTAAGCTCTTGGTATTATCAGTTTTTTTGAAAGCCGCCATGGCAGTTGAATTTGAAATATTCAATAAAGAAACGGGTCCAATATGGATAGGAATTCAAGGAAATAGTGGAAAGGCTCATTTGGAAGGTGGAGGATTTGTTCTGGCACCAGGACAAAGGGTAATTTAACAATAATATTTTTATTAATTTACGAGCTTATGCTCTTTATCGTAAGATTACACGAATTATAATTAACAACCTGCGATGGAGGGGGGCATTATCTGTATCTGACAAACCAATGGAAAAATTTTGTTAAAAATAGTTAACAGGTTGTGATGTTTCAATTTAAAATATTTTGACAGTTCTGTAATTTCCGCTTATACCGGAAGTAGATATCAATTTTCTTATTTTTATTCCGGATTCCTATAGAACATAATAAAGGGTATATTTAAAATTGGTAGCTAATTTATATAAAAAAAAGGTATTTTCGAAAAATACAATACCATTGCGGGTGTAAGATAATATTTATTTTTTCATAAAGATAGTTAAAATTTGAAAGATTTTAATCCATATATTATGATACGAAAAGATATTTTCCTACGACCACTTAGGAAAGTGACACATATCACACTATATAGTCCTATGGAAAGTGTCCTATATCACACGCGTATGACTAAGAATTTACTTTCCACCCAAGTGAGAATATGTTACTTTCCGCAGTAGTTGTCAAAAAATGTCAAACGCCTAATTTCTATTTTGATCTATGTAATGTCCATATTAATACTAAAATCGATATGATTGTTAAATTATTGAAATTGTTTTAAATTAGATCCTAGATATTTATCTTTAACAATTATTATTAAAATAATTTTAAAATAACTAAGATTATGTTTGCTCTTTAATTTGGGTAAATACATAACCGATTAGATCATTCAATTGACGTAAGGCCCATTAGCTCAGTTGGTTTAGACGTCGAACTTATCAACTTTGCCATTTTTTGACCGCGTTCAATCTATGGTTCAAATCCTGGCGGAGCCGAATTTTTTTTTTGTTTTTTTTTTATTTTTTATTAGTTTTTTTTGTTTAGAAAATATGAAAATTGAATAAATACGATTATTGTTGATTATTTTTTAAATACATTTTAATTAATATAGTAATAATAACCTTGGTTTTACATTTTTTTGATATTATTTTGTAAGCTAATTTCTATTTTGATCTATGTAATATCCATATTAATACTAAAATCGATATGATTGTTAAATTATTGAAATTGTTGTAAATTAGATCCTAGATATTTATCTTTAACAATTATTATTAAAATAATTTTAAAATAATGTTTGCTCTTTATTTTGGTTAAATACATAACCGATTAGATCATTCAATTGACACAAGGGCTGTTAGCTCAGCTGGTTAGGAGGTCGAACTTATCAATTTTGCCATTTTTCGACCGCGTTCAATCTATGGTTCAAATCCTGTCGGGGCAGAATTTTTTTTTTGTTTTTTTTTATTTTTTTTTTATTTTTTTTTTATTTTTTTTAGTTTTTTTTGTTTAGAAAATATGAAAATTGAATAAATACGATTATTGTTGATTATTTTTTTAAATACATTTTAATTATTATAGTAATAATAACCTTGGTTTTACATTTTTTTGATGACATTATTTTGTGGTCGTAGGAAAAATATTGTAGATCACTTGTGTGAAAAGTGATTTTCCACACTCGTGTGATAGTCGCACTCGGCTTGCGCCTCGTGCGACTATATTTCCCACTCGTGTGAAAAATGTCACTTTCCACACTCGTAATGTAATATACTATTTATTATACAGGTTGAGAAGAAAACATGTTTGAATTTTGATTTAACAAAACATCAATGTTTTTAATTTTTAAATGTATACATTATATTTTTATATTTCATTATATTCTGCGGCCAAAAATAAGTGGAATTCGTTTTTATTTCGTTCTACTTATCAATTTTGGGAATATAATATTTTCCACCAAGTCAATTTTGAAAATTGTATCAAATTTTGCAAATTATATTCAGGATTTTTGTTTAATTATTCAACATATTGTTTGAAAGTTTTTAAAAAATGATTGAGAATTAATTGAAAATAATGTTTTTATTTATCTTTGCAATTACAATTTTAAAAGTTTTATTATTAATGTCAAATTATGAAATTGCTATTTATAATTATTACATTTGTTTGCTTCTAATTTTTCTTTTGTTAGTAAATTTCGAATCTTTAAATATCAAAGTTAATAAATAAAAGTGTTTAATAAATAAGACTTTCGAAATTTTTAGTTAAAATTATGCTTTAATAAATTTTAAAAAACACCTAATTGGTAAAACCATTTATTTTCGATAATTTTACTGATTTTTTTTTGTAATATCCGATTCTTTTAATTATTTTTTGTTTTTTCTATTAGTATTTTTTCTTGATATTTAGCAATGGCTGATACTGGCCATAGAGCCATGTAATATATCTGTGGTATGAACATTTTAGAAATTTTTAAAAATAACAAAACTCATCTATGTATCTGAATTAGGGCGTGGTTCAAAGTCCATTCGTAGTGAAGCTCTAGGCTTATTGTACCCCTCACAGTTTCTAACCCATCAGATTGATTTTCTTGATAAATTCAAGAATATGTCTGATGGGCGCTTTTGCGATTTCTTCAGGTTCCGGATATTGTACCCCGAAGTAACATTTCCGTTCCCATTTAAGGTTCCGATAGTATGTGAATAGAAGTTTCGTCCTCCTCTTCACATATTCTACATAGGGAGTCATCAGATATCCCTAAGAGATTTAGGTGTCTTCTAAGGCCGCAGTGTCCCGCAAGGAGTCCTATTACGGCCTTGAGTTTGCTTCTACTATGGTTTAGCAGTTGATTTTGTCTGCTCGTGGATGGCCCCTCTATGAAGTCCAGCAAGGTAGTTCCAACCAGAGCCTATGGTGTTCTCTATTTATTTGTTCTTTTAACACCCATTTAACATGGTATGAGATACCACATGTGGGTTCTGATCCAATAAGGGTTTTTTCCGCTTTTTTCCTTGCTAGGAAGTCTGCTTTCTCGTTCAGACTAATGGTCCTCCCTGAGTTCACATGATAGAACCCATCTCCTGTGCTGTTTTTCAATTTCGAACCGTCTGTATACTAGATTGATTCGTTTTGTTTTTCCCTATTTTCCCTGGTATTTGAATATTGAAGTCGTGAATAATGGGCGTTCTATCCGATGACATTCTTAATACCGTATTTTATTTTAATTTCTCTAATATCATTGTGTGGTGTTCTTTTCTCGAAAGTTCCCATCCAAATCCATTAGTAAACTGTGATTTACTTTACTGTCAATTTTTAATTATGCTGACACCATTTAACAACAGAATATCAGTATAAAATATGTTCATAAAATTATAATAAAAAAAACGCCTACGCATATTCATACTTTAAAATTAAATACCTTACTGGTGTAAATGTAAGATCTAAAGGCTTATTAAGTCCTCCTGCTTTTAAACCAGAACTATTTCGACTAACTTACTTTTTCGCGACAATATTTTTAGGACATCCTGTAGGTAAGTTTAGGTCTAACCGACCTATTGCTGATTATTAATACGCTACAACAGGTAGCGGTCTGCCATTTTTAATGTATTTATATTTTCCAAAAGCTTATGTGTACTATTATCACATTTTTTAGAGATCTGTACAGTCCCCGCCAGACTGGGGTGGCCGTTTCTGGGCAAGAACTTGGTGCAACGCTGGAAATAATCATTGTGAGACCGGAGATTGTGGAAATAAATTACAATGCCAAGGAGCTGGAGGAAGACCACCAGCTTCATTGGCCGAAATCACGCTAAAAGGAAAAGGACCGTTAGACTTCTACGATATTTCATTTGTAGATGGATTTAACTTACCTATTTCTGTGAGTATTCGAACAAGTAACAAAAACTTACGATTTTATTCCCAGAAATAAGTTGATTTATTTTAATCAGTAGCAGTATAATAAATTTGTCTTAAATTTGTCTTAAATTTGTTTTAAATTTGTCTTAAATTTGTCTTAAATTTGTCTTAAATTTGTCTTAAATTTGTCTTAAATTTGTCTTAAATTTGTCTTAAATTTGTCTTAAATTTGTCTTAAATTTGTCTTAAATTTGTCTTAAATTTGTCTTAAATTTGTCTTAAATTTGTCTTAAATTTGTCTTAAATTTGTCTTAAATTTGTCTTAAATTTGTCTTAAATTTGTCTTAAATTTGTCTTAAATTTGTCTTAAATTTGTCTTAAATTTGTCTTAAATTTGTCTTAAATTTGTCTTAAATTTGTCTTAAACTTGTCTTAAATTTGTCTTAAACTTGTCTTAAATTTGTCTTAAATTTGTCTTAAATTTGTCTTAAATTTGTCTTAAATGTGTCTTAATTGTGTCTTAATTGTGTCTTAAATTTGTCTTAAATTTGTCTTAAATTTGTCTTAAATTTGTCTTAAATTTGTCTTAAATTTGTCTTAAATTTGTCTTAAATTTGTCTTAAACTTGTCTTAAATTTGTCTTAAATTTGTGTTAAATTTGTCTTAAATGTGTCTTAATTGTGTCTTAAATTTGTCTTAAATTTGTCTTAAATTTGTCTTAAATTTGTCTTAAATTTGTCTTAAATTTGTCTTAAATTTGTCTTAAATTTGTCTTAAATTTGTCTTAAATTTGTCTTAAATTTGTCTTAAATTTGTCTTAAATTTGTCTTAAATTTGTCTTAAATTTGTCTTAAATTTGTCTTAAATTTGTCTTAAATTTGTCTTAAATTTGTCTTAAATTTGTCTTAAATTTGTCTTAAATTTGTCTTAAATTTGTCTTAAATTTGTCTTAAATTTGTCTTAAATTTGTCTTAAATTTGTCTTAAATTTGTCTTAAATTTGTCTTAAATTTGTTTTAAATTTGTCTTAAATTTGTCTTAAATTTGTTTTAAATTTGTCTTAAATTTGTTTTAAATTTGTCATAAATTTGTTTTTGAATTCACTTTCAATTTTTAGTTTGAACCCGTGGGAGGTCAAGGAGATGGCAGCCAATACAGCTGCAAAAAGGCGAGCTGCAACAAATACTTAAATGGCGAGTGCCCTGGAGAACTTCAACTGAAGTACCAAAATCAAGTGATCGGTTGTAAATCTGCTTGCGAGGCGTTCAACACTGACCAATATTGTTGCAGAGGTGCCTACGATAAACCGGAAACTTGCAAGTCTTCAGAATGGAAGGTGAACTATCCTAAATTCTTCAAGGATAGATGTCCTGATGGGTACAGTTACGCGTACGATGATCACAAGAGCACGTTCACCTGCAAGGCTAACAAATATATTGTGACTTTCGGTATCTAAAAATTGTCTTTAATTAACAACATGAGTTTATTATTATTATTTTATTTTATATTATGACTATTAAATACATTATTTAGACATTTTTTGTTTGATATTTATTTGGACCTAGGTATGCAGATTCGAAATAAAAGCATAGAATCAAATTTTAAAAGGGGCAACCTAATCCTCAAACTTATAAAGGCATGCTAAGACAGGTAATTCTCTATTAAAATTGATTCATTGGAACATCATGTATAAACACCCAATGTACTGAATTTTAGGTCTTAATTGGTTAAAAAGTGAGCAAAAAATAGTCCCAGTAGCGGCTCGTGGCGTAGTTTACAAAAGGCTACTTTTAAAAGAAACTTATATTTATAAGTACTAGATACACCTTATATACCTATTGTAATGTATTTCTATTAGAAAACAAAAAAGGAAAAATTAAAAATTTAATATTACATTTAAAGAATAATGTATTTCAAAACAAAAACTACTGACAAAAGCATAAATAAATATTCTTCAATTATCAGTTAGTTTTAATATTGTTACGCAGGTTTTTGGTATCGCAATTTATTTGAACTTAACTTTTACAACAACTATTCAACTGCTAACAATAACATGTAAAGTCTATCATAAAACTGAAACTCTGACGTCAGGTCGTCGACTTATATAACTTGCCTCGACCTTCTAGAACCTTCTCGAACAATCCGGACTTTTCTTTGACAAGGAATGATATTTTGAGACATTTCTGGATTATTCTATCTTCTTTATTTACTCGTACCTTTACTTATGACGACCGCAGCACGCTACAGGGTGCTGCGTAACAATATAATAAATAAACAGCTCCCTGCTGGTATTATTAATATGCAAAAAAACTAACGTATATTGTATTTCCTAAGTGGTACCTAGAATTATAATCCAGTGTGAAATGGGGCGAAGGTGGAAATTTTCGTAGCCTTGTTGCACATCAAAATTTGGCCTTTTTCACCAATAATATAGATTTTGGTTCTCACGTTTTCCCTGTAATTCACTCCAATCTTCTAATTAAAAAAATGGATCAATTAAATTTCTCTTATATATTTATTCTATGTATGCATTAGTATAGTTTTAGTTATTTGTATATTTTAATCTTGTTTTTTATCTGTACAACATTAATGTTTTTAAATAATTATTTATTGTACATTTTTTTTAAGTTTCATGCAGGGGCGGCTCGTGACCAAAATGTTGGGGGTTCACAGTAGCAGAATATAGATCCCGGTACAGATATAGGTAAAAAACTGTCAGTGTTTTAGAAAGGTACATTATAAACTTTCTAAAACACTGAACATTTTTTCATACATCTGTACTGATACCTATATTCTGTCTCTGTGAACACCTCCACGAGCCGCCACTGGTTTCATGTATTATAATCGAAACAAGTGAGTATTCACTTATCAATTACTTTTAATTTTAAGCTACCATTTGTATTTTTTTATAACTATATTTTTGGATGAATGAACTATTATTATTTAGTACATCGAGATCTATGTGAAGCATACACATGTGTCTAGACAAAAGTCCTTCAGTCGCTTTTGAAGCATGGAAATAGAGGTACAGCAGTGACAATCTCACGTGTGGATATAGACATCGAAAAACTTTAAGTTCCATAGTAAATTATACTCCCAACTCAACTATAAGATTCAACGGTATGTCGGATACCTCTGAATATAACAACATTGTCGGGTGTCAGGCATCGTATATCCGGTATCCGGCACGTGTGAAAGGGACTTAAGTAGACCAATTAAAACAGGCTAGTCATACTATAATACTATAATTTTAAGAAAAAGAAATCATATACTAACTTTATGTTTAAAAAAACGGCGTTCTAATAAACGTACTGGAGACAATACAATTGTTTACTTTAACAAAAACAACTGATATCTGAATCACGTATTAGATACATTTAGAAAACCTATTTAGATAAAGCAAATTTAGTTAGTATATTAAGCAAATTGTTCAGTGTATTACAGGCATTATTACATTAATGTGATTGTATAAAACACAATATGTTGACATTAGTTGTGATTTCAATAATTTTGGCGATTAGCCAAGCAATCGAATTTCAATTTGTAAATAAAGAAATCGGTGCTGTGTGGGTAGGAATCCAAGGTAATAGTGGAAAAGAAGCTTTGGCTAATGGAGGATTTATACTGGAAGCTGGTGCATCGGTAATTATATAACATCTAATCTGTTATAACTTATACTTATTAGGACAATTGACCGAACGGTGTTTCTGAGGACGATAAAAAGTCATTTGGAGCAATACATTTAAACTAATTAATACTCTTGTAAGTCAAAATAAAACTCAGCCAAAATATAATTTTAGACGTCCATTCAAGCACCAGAAGACTGGGCAGGACGTTTCTGGGGCAGAACTTGGTGTGACCCAAACACCAATTACTGTTTGACAGGTGATTGTGGAAGTAGAATAGAGTGCCAAGGTAATGGCGGCGCGCCTCCAGCTTCATTGGCAGAAATCACGCTGAAAGGTGCCGGAGGGCTAGATTTCTATGAGATTTCTTTGGTAGATGGTTTTAATTTGGCAATAAGCGTGAGTACCTTTGTATAAGACTAAATTTAAATTATTACTCTCGTATCCCTATATCAACATAGTTTTAGAAGCAAAAGATTGATCTTATCAAATAATATATCAGATAATATGGTAAAGAGGAATGTTTTCGTAATACATTGATACGGAAAATTTTTACTAGGTATGAAAATAATGTACAATAGATTAGAGTTAAATAAATAACTGATAAAGTCTGGGTTGGTTGAATAACAATTTAATTTATTCACTTGTTCGAATAAATTTCACATACTTTGAATATTTCTTGTACCAAGAATCACTAAATTAAACAGTTATCTAATTTATTCAGTGGATATGCTTTGTACAATTTTCTGGCAGTTCTTGTATTTTCTTTTCTTATAGTTTGAACCAGTTGATGGCAGAGGAGACAGCAGTCAATATAGTTGCAAAAAAGCTGCATGTGAACAACATCTTAATGATGAATGCCCTGGAGAACTCCAACTTGGTTCGCCAAATGGTGTCGTAGGCTGCAAATCAGCTTGTCTTGCCTTCAATACTGACCAGTACTGCTGCAGAAACGAATTCGGTACTCCAGATACGTTCAAGAGCTTAACATGGCCCGTAGATTACCCAAAATTTTTCAAGGATAGATGTCCGGGTGCATACAGTTACGCTTACGATGATAGAAAGAGTACTTTTACCTGTGAAGCTGAAAAATATATAATCACTTTTGGTTTTTGAAGAACTAATAAAATTTAACATTTTGTCACGCTATATGTGGTCTTGGTAGTTTTTAGACAAAATCATAGCTTATAACTTTTCTGATGACACCACAACGAGCTCTGGCTCGCCACGTTGTATTCTGAGGTTCAACGTTTCAGTAAAGTTCGCTTGACTCAAAATACAACTTGGTAGTAGAGTAAAGTAGCCGTATGTGGAATACTGCCTAAAATGTGGAATACTTTCTTTAAGGCAAAACTAATACCGCCATCTATCATCTAACAGCCTAATCAGAAGCTATTTCTATTATTTTTCACCGTCATCAAAATCCTGGAGCATATCGCGGCTGTCGATTGTTTGCCAGTATTGGTTCGAACACGAATTGTAACGGTCCCTATATTTTTGCACGTGTTTAATTAAGAATCTATTGTGACTCCATTTTTGCAAGATTAGTGTATAAACGTAAAAATAGATGGTGGATTATTGTGAAGTGTGTTACATATTTCATTAAAATTTCGTTTTTAATGTTTTACAAATATTTAAAAAGTCGTTATTGTGGAAAATAGTTTTCTTGTTTCAGAAATGTTTCTGAGAAATGTAACAGAACACAAATAATAAATAAATAAATAAAATAAAATAACTTTAATTATCAATAATATACAATTATACAAATTCAATATACAATATACAATACAATATACAATCTGCAGTATACAATAGGCAATATTACAATAATATGATACATAATACAAAATTATAAAATACAAATTTACCCACTAGACTTGATAAATAAAGTATTAGTCGATAAGTAATACATACTTGTTTCGACAAAAATAACAATAATAATAATAATAAAAGAATAATAATAATCATAATAAGAATAATAATATCAATAATACTAATAATAATAATAAAATCAATTCTAAAACGACACTAAATCTTAATAGTGTGCGAGAAGTAAGATTATATTATGTTATATTATACAAGAATATTTTTATTTATTTTTATTTTTATGTTAATTTTCTATTATGTCTGAAAACAGCTTTCTTTCAGTTTGCAATATATACTTTTTTAACATTTTTTTAAAATTAAATTTAGTTTTTATGGTTTTTAGATCACCCGGTACGTAGTTATATATTTTATTAGATATGTATAGATATGATCTTTGTGTTAAGGATTTTCTAACAAACGGTGGAATTGTTTGATTTACTTTTCTCGTAGGATAAGAGTGTATGGAAGTAAGTTTGTTTCTGGAAAAGTGAAATTTAACATTGACTGCTAAAAAGAATAACTGCCTCAAATCCATAATTTGGCTTTCTAAAAATAATCGCTCAGACGAATATCTATGACCTTTACACATAATTATTTTTAAGAACCTCTTCTGCAGTATTTCTAGTGGATTTATGTGTACTCGCAATGCACTTCCCCAGACTGAGATACAATATCGGAGGTGGCTCCCTACTAGAGATGAGTATAGTGTTTTCATCGTCTTTATGGGTAGGTATTTGTTTAAATATTTAAATTTATATAGAATTGTTTGTAGTTTAGTTATTATGTGTTTTATTTGTTTATCCCATCTGAGGTGTGTGTCTATAATTATACCAAGGTATTTAATACTAGTCACAGAATTTATTGATAAGACTTTCCCCTGGTCACATATTTTGAGCGAGGTAAAAGGCGCTATATTGAATTTGTTGCAACTAAATGGTAAGAAATTAGTTTTTTCCATATTAATTGTTAGGAGTCTATTGTTGAACCATTTTTTTATTAACTCAAAATCTTTTTCTGTTATGGACTTTAATTCTGCCCAATTTTCACCCTCGTAAAATACCGCAGTGTCATCGGCATAGCCTAAGATTTGACCTGTGGTGTTGAGAGAGAAAATATTGTTAATATACAGGTTAAAGAGAAATGGACTGAAGAAAACATGAGAATGGCGGTACAAATGGTACAGAGAAAAACAATGGTATATTTAGCTGCTGTCAAAACTACAACGTGTCGCGCTCTACATTATTTCATTGCTCTAAAAACGGTAAAGAAGTAGAAAAATATTAAAGAAGATACCCTGGAAAGAAAAGATGTTTTATCGCAAGAGCTAGAAACCAAACTGGTAGAGTAAATTCTGTTAATGATTGACTTCTTCAGAAAGGGGATCGTTAATAACTTTTGTAATATGTATGAGCACAGAAGGAAATTTTATTCCACCTTTGATTATATTTCCGCGAAAAAACTGTAATGAACAATTAAAAATTGGTGCGCCACCTGAAACTCTGTTCAAATTTAATCAATCAGATTGATACAGACTAACCTTTTTACTCCCTGGTTTGACTTTTTATTGAAAAAGTTCACCCATCTAAAAATAACCCAATTTTCCTTTTCGTAGATGGACACAATACTCATAGTAGGAACCTTGATGTTGTAGTAAAAGCTACAGAAAATTTTGTGACAATTCTTTGTCTTCCATCTCACACATCTCATAAATTGGAGCCCCTTGGTGAAACAGTGATGAGGGCATTAAAGACATTCTATAATGAAGATTAGAATGTTATTGAGAACAAATCAATGTGCTGTCACTCACTTTAATGTATGCGAGCTTTTTGTACTTGATCAGTCTGCCGAACGAGCTATTAAGAGTTTTGCTGTTACAGGGATTTATACACTTAGAAGAATGTTCATACTGATGAAGATTTTCTTACATTTTGATGATAATGTAGATCAAGAACAAGAGCTTGCAGATCTTAATAGCAAAAATAGAGAAGAAAGGCAATGTTCACCCATTTTAGTTAACCCAGAAGACATTGTTCGGGTACCCACCATGAAGAAAATAATACCAATAAGGGGTAGAAAACCTAGACCGGCAAAAATAATAACTTCTACACCTAATAAAGAAGATTTGGAGAAGTCTATAAAACCAAAGATTTTTAAACAATATTCGCGAAGAAATATGGGTTATGTGTACCATGTGCAACTGCTTGGCTCAAGAAGAATGTGCAGGTATCGAAAAAGATCCATACAGCTGTGATTTTTATCTTTAGTTATTTTGTTCTAAGTTATTCTTATTCTTACTACTTTTTATGTTCACTTATTATTTTGTTTTTCTTATTTTATAATAGGATAAAATATCTAAATGTATACTAAACAAAATATTTTAATATTATACCTATTCCACATTATCCACACACTTTTGTTTAAAAGTTTTATAATTTTTATTATGTGTTTTTCGTTTATAACATTTCACGCTATCTATATTCCAAATTGTGGATTATAATGTTAAAGTTTTCATTTTTATTTTTCCAAAAAACAAAACAGTATTTCACAATCGGCTACTTTACTCTACTATTTAATAATATCACTTTATTTCGACATCAGGTTGTAAGAATTTCTAACTATAAATAATATGACATCATTCTGCAGTCAGGGGTCTTTCAAGGTTCACATTTAGAACCATTATTGTTTTACATATTCTTAAATGATATTAAATCCAACTTTCGCTATAGTACATTTCTTTTATTTGCAATATTACTTTCCATATTTAATCAGCTAGTTTCCTCTAATTTATAACTGATTTTTTCAAGTTTTCTAATGCTGTATATGTAACGCACACAAGAATTTTGAGCTGTTTGAATTCTAAGAAGAATTTTGAAAATCCCCTTTTCCTGACAACGCACCTACGCCCATGCGTAATCCCATCACATCACAGTATCGCGAACTTCGACCACAAACGACCACGCTGACCGTTGCCAAATACAGAAACAGAAAGAGAAATACAAATATCGCGACGAAAGGTAACGAAACTCAGCCACAACCGCGAAACGTGGAGTGGACATTTGAAAGTCAATTAGCAGACGGCGGATAACCGCCCCGGGGCCAGAGAAAGGGCAACCGGGTCGACCAGAGCCCCGGGGCGTCGTCCGATCGGCGCCAGGCGGTTCCAACGCCAACGATAGCCCCCCGGGCGCTCCGGCTAAGGCTGTCATTGAGGAGCAGTTGGTCATATGGCAACCCTATATCGGAGCGCAGAGCCGCTACTAGCCAGGGGCGCCCTTCGGGCATTGCACGTGTTCAGACGTCGATATACGAGGCGGTACGGAAAATTTATACAAGGTGTTTTGATGTATTGAGGTGTACAACAAGTAACAAACTCAGTTGAATCCATTTTTCTTGTTATAATCATGATGTAACTATAGTCTATTTTTATGTATGAGAGAGTAATAAAACAGCATTTCTAATGCAAAACTTAGTACGGTCATTTTAAATATTTTTACAGAATAATCTAAATATTTCCTAAAATTGTAATAAATGTACCTGAGCTATTACAAGTTTTGGGTCTTTTATTGGTCCTTTATAAACATAAGCTGTACAGAACAATAGAAAAAGGTTTGGACAGGCCAAAAGCCCTGTGTATTAAAGATTACATAGCCGTATCTTAAGATTATTTTCAATAAGTACCTATTTGCCAATTTTGTTTTATTTTAATTCCAAGAATTTCTTACAGTAATCGAATTATAAGTAGATAAATACCTTCCCAACAAATTTCACCGAAAATGCGATTATAGGTTTTCCATTTACTAAGGAGGTCCAAGTTGTCTATTCTTGACAGTTTACTAAATGTCGTTTAGTTGCAACTTGCAAGGTGCAGTGTGAATTCTAGTGTGATCATGGAAAATTTGGAAGGGCCGCGTAAACGACAAAAAATCGGTCCTTTAACAGTTAATGAAAAAACATTAATATTTAATTGTTTTAAATCATTTACAGACAAACATTTATGTAAAAGTGTTGATGACACAGTGGAATTAGTTAGTAGTACGCTTGGTGTTGGGAAATCTACGATTTACAGAGTTGTTAAAGAAGAGAAATGTGGCGAGTTTCAAACAGCACGTAAAGCTCCAGGAACACCAAAATTACAATTAGAAAATCTTTTGAAAAAAAGACTTCGAAGGAAAGTGTATGCGTTCTTCTTTAGAAAAGAATTTCCGACAGTAGACAAAGTTCTTGCCACGGTTCGAGATGATAAGGATTACCCTGAAATGAGTCGAACCACACTATGGAAACTTTTAAATGAAATAGGTTTTCTATGGAAAAAGCATTCCAGAAAGTTTATTTTAATAGAAAGAAGCGATATTGTAGTATGGAGAAGAAATTGCTTAAGGACTATAAAAGAAATGAGAAACCAAAGAAGAAATATATTTTATTTAGATGTCGGAATTGTCGGTTTTCTTGTTTTAATCTGACAGGTTAAAACGACTAAACCGACAATTCCGGAAGCAGAAGCGGATGATTAAAACGCACCTGATATTTTCTTTGCTGCTGTCAGTGTCAGCGAATATTATTTTTGAAGTCACAGTTTATTGCTAAAGAATCAGATAGCTCACTCGGACCAGTTGAAAGTTCCAAAATAACATCCACTCCAGGGATACAAATTCAGGATACGCAGAAGACTGCTGTTTTATTATAGGCGGTTGTCATATATTGTATTATCCGAGTTGCGCAGTGTATAAACTGGAACATTGAGATCAAAAGTGCCGACGCAGAGTGAGCGATCTGATTCTTTAGCTATAAACTGTGGCATAGGAATAAAAATGGCCGCGCCCTATGTTGGGCGTGTCGGACCTCTCTCTTGCACCGTATAGTAATCAAAGTATGTGCAATGAACAATCAT